ACGTTTGATAGACGACAGTGGTAGCGTCTAAGGATAATGTTATTTTGACGTCCAATAACGATGTGAAATGACTTGATATTGTGTTGATTTTAGGTTGTGTTGAAAAGTGACCGAAATTCAACGTTAAGCTAACATTTTAAACCAACGTCATATTGACGTCAAATACTGACATTTATTCGTCAGGTATGGCAACCAAAATACGTCTTATAGATGTCATAGTGGCAGTGTCCAAACAATGTCAAGTCATCATTAGACGTTGATATTTTATCGTTTTTTAGTTTGTGCTGGAAAGTAATCGAAATGCAATGTCTGTTTAATGTTGGACATTGATGTCGGCCTGATGTTGGGTTCTGATGTCAACCCGATTTTCATTTCCAAACAAAATGCAACGCCCCACTACGTTAGGGTACAACGTCAATCAGACGTCATGTTGATATGCTGTGCCTGCTAGATATATTGCCTGTAGTGTGTAAATAAGTATGTGTGTGAATGAGTGTGTATGGGTGTTTCCCAGAACTGAGTTGCGGCTGGAAGGGTATCTGCTGCGTAAAACATATGCTGGAATAGTAGGTGGTTCAGCGACGCAGTGGCGCAGTAGGTAGTGCTGTCGCCTCACAGCAAGAAGGTCGCTGGTTCGCAGTTGGCGTTTCTGTGTGGAGTTTGCATGTTCTCCCTGCATTTCCCCCACAGTCCAAACATGTGGTACAGGTGAATTGGGTAGGCTAAATTGTCAGTAGTGTATAAGTGTGTGTGTGAATGAGTATGTGTGGATATTTCCCAGAGATGGGAAATATCCACTGCGTGAAAACGTGCTAAATAAGTTGGCGGTTCATTATGCTGTGGCAACCCCGGGTTAATAAAAGGACTAAGCCGACAAGAATATGAATGAATGAATGAGTTGGTGGTTTATTCCACTGTAGTGATCTCTGAATTAGAGACTAAGCCTAAGAAAAATGAATGAAAAATGCTGGGTCGTACTAACCCAACGATGGGTCAGATATGAATAAAGAAAACCAACAGCTGGGTGTACAAATATAACTGACATTTAATTGAGACAAATTAACCCAACAGCTAGGTTTGTCCATATTTGACCTAATGTTGGATTAATACATGCCAGTATTTTTAGAATGTGGCTATTTGCAAGATATAGCTTATTCTGGGTTGAAATTGCTTTAGAGTAAATGCTACATCCGTTTTTTCAAGCGCTCAAAAAATGGTGTAGAAACAATTGTTATGGATCACAAGAAAATACAATTCAGTCATTCTATTTTTCTAAAAAAAAATAATTTTTACAATCTAGAAGTTGGCATTTGGGCTAAATATGGGCAAGCATTGTGGCCTCACAGCAAGCAGGTTGATGGTTTGAGTCCCAGCTGTATAGTTGGCATTTCTGTGTGGAGTTTGCATGTTCTCCCTGTGTTAGTGTGGGTTTCTTCTGGGTGCTCTGGTTTTCCCCGACAGTCCAAACACCTGTGCTATAGGGGAATTGAATAAACTAAATTGGCCCGTATTGTGTGTGTGTGTGTGTGTGAGTGAATGAGTGTGTATGAGCGTTTCCCAGTCCTGTGTTGCTGCTGGAAGGGTATTCCCTGCGTAAAACATATGCTGGAATAGTTGGTGGTTCATTCCGCTGTGGCTTTCTCTTTAATAAAAAAAATTGTTTCTTAATGTGCAAAAAATAACCCAACATTGGGTGTGTCCATATTTGACCCAACACTGGGTAAATGCAAAACAGAATTTAGTTTTATTTGATGTCACGTGCCATTTTTGCTTTTAATCTATTTATCTATCCTGAAAACTATGAGCTTCATTATGAGCTGTGTCGAACCCGGATTAATAAAGGGACTAAGCCAAAAAGAAAATGAATGAATGAATGAATAACTAAACAAGACACAGGTGAACGTAATCAATAAGCAACAAGTACCCATAGCAACAAAGGAAATACCATGCCAAAGACAAAACCATGAAAAAATTAACTAATAAAGGATGAAGAATACCTAAACAAGACACAGGTGAGTGTAATCAAAAAGCAACATGTAACCATAGCAACAAAGAAAAAGGAACTAACATTCAAAACATCAAAAGCAGAACCATATTGTTTCTTGACGAAGTCAAACCGCCTGAAATGACTCCCTTAAAATGCACAAAACAGCATTTTTGACAATATTCTCATCTCAAATCTTGCATTAACAAATCAAATCTTGTTGCACAGTGTGAACGTAATAATATGTGTCCTATTTAAGATTGCCTGAGGGTAGTTTAAGAGCTGATGTGTTATATTTTAGAGTCCTGCCAGTCACTGGATGACCGCAAAACTGTCTTAACACACACTTTGTTTGGATGAACCCGTGTCATTTTATTTATTTGCTCTCAAATCTATTCAGATTTTTTCAGCTGGATGCAGAGATGCCGCAGAAGATGTGTTATTTATCCTTGGCCAACAGAGAGGAAATCTGAGAGTGAAATTCCCATGTCTCCGATAACCACAAAGTCAACATGTCAATAATTCATCGCTCATATGATTTAATATATCAGCGTTTGAATTATTCATCTCTCTCTCTCTCTTTCTCTCCACCTGACAGTCTACATCTGACTCTCCCAGTACTTTCATATTCATTTCAATCGGACCGCCGCTGAATGATTTATGGACGGCTGACTTGGCCATGCACTACATGTAAAAGGCCATCCGTGTTGATGGAAAAAACAAACATGGACACAGTCGGGAGTATTTGAGCGGCCAGTGAACACTCAAGTGGATATAGAAAACCACACAAGAGAGGGAAGAGTTCATAGAGGCTTAATAGAGTTCAGTCTATGCAAAGATTGTAAAGTGCATGCTTTTATTTTCGGATTAAAAAGAGGTTTAGTCACCTGTCGGAGAAGAGAAATCAAAACACGATCCTGTTGAAAGAGAACTACAGGCACTACTTTACGGGGAATGAAGTAGCTCCACCAGTTGCAAATCAGATCAAGCTTTGAAGAGCTGCATGTTGAATATTTGTTTTGTATTTCCAGCAAACACCTTCTCCATTATTTATCTGACAACATGGAAAGTATGTTGTATTACCTGCATTAAACGAAATGTGGGCTGAAGCTGACTATACACTACCTGACAAAAGTCAGAGCAACACATAATAACCTGACTTCTAGTTGATCATTTGGAGAAATGGCAGAAGGTGGATTTTTCTGATGAATCATCTGTTGAGCTGCATCCTGATCATCACCAATACTGCAGAAGACCTACTGGAACCCGCATGGAGCCAAGATTCTCATAGAAATCAGTCAAGTTTGGTGATGGAGAAATCATGGTTTGGGGTTACATTTAGTATGGGGGCGTGCGAGAGATCTGCAACAGCCTGAGGTATCAAGACATTTGTGCTGCTCATTACATTACAAACCACAGGAGAGGGACAATTCTCCAGCAGGATAGCGCTCCTCATACTTCAGACTCCACATCAAAGCTCCTGAAAGCACAGAAGGTCAAGCTGCTCCAGGATTGGCCAGCCCAATCACCAGACATGAACATTAATGAGCATGTTTGGAGTAAGATGAAGAAGAAGCCGTTGAAGATGAACCCAAAGAGTCTTGATGAACTCTGGGAGTCCTGCAGGAACGCTTTCTTTGCCATTCCAGATGACTTTATTAATCAGTGATTTGAGTCATGTCAGAGATGTATGGATGCAGTCCTCCAAGCTCATGATGGAGTCAGACACAATATTCATTCTGTCTCCACTGCAGCAGGACTTTATATTCTATACTGGACATTATTTCTGTTCAGTGATGAGACTTCTGTCTAAGCAGAGTCAGACCTTACTGTCCTAATGAAATCATTAATAATCAAGGCATGATCATATTTTATTGTGGTCAAATAAGCATCATCTAGAGGCCTTTGCCTTTCTTATAAGCCACTTCTGATACCAAATGATCAACTAAAAGTCAAGGTATTATTTGTTGTTCATAAAACTTGGATAGGCGACAAGACTTTTGTCAGGTAGTGTATATATATATATATATATATATATATATATATATATATATATATATATATATATATATATATATATATAATAAAATTGTTATGTCAGTATACTTCATAATGTCACTTTCATGTTTAATTGTTTACAAAATTTTGCATATTCGGAGTTGAAATTGTTTCAAAGTAAAATCTGTTTTTTCATATGCAGAAAAGAGGTGTAGAAGTAATTATTATGACTTTTTAAATACATTTCTAACCCATTTTTCTAGTTCAAAAATATTTAAATGTATATAGCACTTTAAACTCAGATTGTTTCTAAGCTGCATCACAGTAATTATCATGAAAGCTATCTAGGCATACTATATATGCATAAACATTGTTTGTTGATACTAAAATTAATTATTTTAATTGTAGTGCGTGGCTGCTGTTGTGTTGTCGTGATGTATTTTCAGTTGGTCAGTATTATTCACCCTCCTGTAAAGTTTATTTCCAAATATTTCCCAAATTATGTTTAACAGAGCAAAGAATGTTTTCACAGTATTTCCTATAATAATTTTCTTCTGGAGAAAGTTGTTTTTTGGCTACAATAAAAGCAGTTTTATTTTATTAGCCCCTTTTAGCAATGTTGTTTTTTAATTGTCTACCACTGTAATACAGTGACTTGCCTAATTAACCTAACCTGCCTAGTTTAGCCTTTAAATGTCACTTTAAGCTGAAAACTAGTATCTTGAAAATCTTGATGAATAAATCAGTTATTAGAAATTAGTTATTAAAACTATTATGTTTATAAATGTGTTGGAAAAAAATATCTACGTTTAACAGAAATTGGGGCGGAAATAAACTGGGTGGCTAATATTTCAGGAGGGCTAATATTTCTGATTTCAACTGTGTCTTTCAGAAGTGTGTACTGTCTCTTTAAGGGCTCCGTCGTGTGAACAGAGTGTCGGTTTACATCTCAGGCTCCTCCTCCTCCATTCTGATGAGGGTGTTTCTTCCTTCTGCCCCACTCCGCTTCTAACATCCAGGGATACAAATGTTTCTTTATCCACATTCGAGTCTGTCACCGGAGCCCGATTGTAAATATTAAACATACAGTCGGAGACGTTCGTGCGCGTTCAATCAAAACCATGGGATTGACACACTGAGCTTTGAGTGTTTGGAAGAGAAACTCTGAAGCGGCTGAAAGTTTTGTATCCACACCTTTTGTTTCGCGAAACTTTTCCTTTCTCTCGTAACTTACTTTTTGCAGGAGTATCCGAAGATTCCAGCAGCGCGGATGGATATTAAATGATGCCCGTGGACTGTTTTGGGGGTTTATTTCAGAGTGTTTTTTGTTTGGAAATAAAACCCCGATTCTTCAACCCACAACCCTTCTGATCTGATCATGGGAAAATTGGGAATGTTGGGTTTTTTCTAACCTCCACAGTCGCGCTTGTAAGATTTGGGGTTAGTTCGGATTACTGCAGCTCTCTTCGTGAGACAGGAAAGTTTCGCTTTAAGCAGACGTTTGGCTTTTCATTTAAAGTGCCAACATGCCTCAGTTAAACGGAGGAGGAGGTGATGACCTGGGAGCAAATGATGAACTTATTTCCTTCAAAGACGAGGGCGAACAAGAGGAGAAAATATCCGAAAATGTGTCGTCGGAGAGAGATCTGGACGAGGTCAAATCCTCACTAGTCAACGAGTCCGAGAACAACAGCAGCTCATCAGACTCCGAAGTAAGCAAAAAACACTTGTGTATCACTCTTATCTTCATATAAGTGATCATTAGTGGCGTTTAAACTAAACTGTTGTCTTATATTTCCCAAATACAAGCAAACAGATAGACGTCCTCGACCGAGACCAGATCTAGAAAGTTACGAGAAACAGAGGGAATACTTTGCGGAAGGTAAACAAATATAATAACAACACACTTTGAGATGTATTTCATTATCTATGAATGATTAATGCTCAAATTATACGTTTTCTGTATTCCCCCTCAAAGCTTTGAGACGACAACAAGATGGAGGATTTTTTAAGGGACCCCCTTATGCTGGTTATCCGTTTCTTATGATCCCAGATATCACCAATCCATACCTCTCCAACGGATCGCTATCTCCCAGCACACGAACGGTACGTGCAATTTCACTTTAAACGCGACTATCACCTTCGTGACGTCATCCTGAACTCCGCGAATTTTTGTTCGGCTGGAAAACGCGCGTTAAAATGTGCGCCATATTCGCTACCAGAACCCCCCAGCGTTTCTTTAGTGTCCATTTTAAGTCTGTAGTAAACACCCTAGAAAGCTTTGCGTTTTAAAAGTTTACCGTAGTTTCAACCACTTGTTGAGTCTTGAGCATGCATGCATGCATTAAGAGGCCATTCTGATGCATTGCACAATAAGTCATTTACTTGGGCTCACCCCAGCACAAAAGAGGTCTTTATTCGCCGCCCCCAATGGCACGAAAATGGACTTTTCTTAGCGAGATGTCTGCACAATTAATTTTCTATTATCATAACAGGCGACAAACTGGAGGCAAGCCCAGGCAGATAGGATTCATCCAGCTTTCCGTGTCAGGAATGTGTCTTTACTCCCTTTGTTGTTGTATGATAGGATGTTAAAGAGCTGAATTTACGACTAGATATCGAAAGCAGGAAGGTGGTTCTGATTGCGTGCGATTTGTTTTTATGGCTTATGTCATGCAGACCTTTGAGTTCATTTGAGCCACATTGAGATCCTCCAGATAAGTTCTTCCCCATCAGTGAAACTGTCTTTCAATTAGAGGGCTGTTAAGCGACTATTGTTATCATTAGTTACCGCTTGACGGCCCTATCGGAGGTCTCCGCTGGATGCCCATTATCTTAATGACATCTTCACCTAGGGGGGGCGGTTTGGCTACCTGAGCAGCAAAGCCCCCACCGAGGTGTTTGAATCGCAGGCAAATTGCCGCATATGTTTGCCTTCCTCCATTTAACTCCACTGAAGGATGTCTGGAGAAGGCGCCCATTGCTTTTCTTTCTTTTTTTTTTTGTGTGTGCAGTATTTGCCTGTTGCTTTCTAAAGCTGCCATGTCAGTGTATAAGTGATGAGGCATGCCAACGTAGGCTAACATGTCATTGTGGAAAAATTTCAGCAAGCCCGTGGTGATAAACATTCATTCATTGTGCTCATTGTGTTGCTGCGAACTCGTGAGAATGCATAAATCTGTTGGGCATACACTTGGATATTAGATGTGGCATTAGGCCTGCTTGTTTGCAGCACAATGCTTTTTTCAACTCGTCAAATAGCATTATAGCCAGAGAATGGCTGCTGTCGCATGAGTGGTTTGACTAGGGGAAACAGGTTACCTTTAACAGCTGTAACAAAGAGCGACTGTGATTCTAGCAGATAAGATGGATAATAACATCTGACTTCTGGCCTGCTCATGTGTGTGTGTGTGTGAGCCCGAAGGCAAGCCGTGTCTTCCTCGGTGTACAATAGCAAGGTTGTGTATAGTTTTGGAGTACAAAAGTTTGTGAAGCGCCTCTCAGTCTATGCGAGAGAGGGAAAAACAGCATGTAATGTTACTGAAGCGGAGCTGAAAATTGTTTACAGTAACTGTTGGCACTGTATTTCCAACGTAAACACAACCTGCTATGGGAAGGAGCTTTATTTTCTGTTTTTTTGTTTGGTTTGGATGATGGAAAACACTCAAGGGCTTCTTGTTAGAAGGTTTAGCTTTCTTAACTATGTTAGTAGGCTTTAACGAGATTTGCTTTGACCCCAGGTTGAAGTTACTTAAGGTTTTATCTTCCACAATGTCCTCATTTTGCTAATGCTAATTCAGCACTTTTGTAGTTTTTCAACATCCACATCAGTTTAACAGACTCGCTCATTGTTTGCTAATTATCACTTCCTTATTAAATAATGTTTCCTAATTGATTTAATTATATTCGAGTCCGAGTAAACAAGCAGGGCAAAAGTCCAGTGCTTTTGTGTGCCGATTAGCCAATATCATGTTGTTAGGCTAATCTTGTTTGACTTGTTTATCTCGGCTCTCTTGGTGTGACCGTAATGATTTGTTTATTAATTAAGTCTGGTGAAGTTTGTTAGATGCTAACAAAAACTCTCCAAAAAAGATCCACTCAGACTAAGAATGACAATATAACTTTATTAACCTTCACACCAATGATAATGTGCTCACTTCAGCTATGTTTTGTGCCCATTTTAAGTGACAGCGCACCCTAGAATTAAAATGTACTCAGCATTTACTCTTCATCATCTGTGTCAAAACCTTTAAGTTTCCCTGCTGAAGAAAACAGCTTAAATCAGCCTGGGCTGGTTGGCTGATTTTAGCTGGTCGACCAGGCTGGTTTTAGAGGGGTTTTGGGCATTTCCAGGCTGGTTTCCAGCTATTTCCAGCCTGCTCTTTGCTGGTCTAGCTGGGAGATGACCAGCTAAAACCAGCTTGACCAGCCTAGCCAGGCTGAGAACCCAGCCAAAACCAGCTATGTCCAGCTTAAACCAGGCTGGTCAAGCTGATTTTAGCTGGATTTAGCTGGTCATTTTCCAGCCTGACCAGCTAAGACCAGGCTGGAAATGGCCAAAACCCCTCTAAAACCAGGCTGGTCAACCAGCTAAAAATAGCCAACAAGCCTAGGCTGGTCTAAGCTGTTTTTTTCAGCAGGGTTGAGTTCTGTTTAACACAAAAGGCAATATTTTAAAGCAAGCCAACTTCAAAATATTCTCTGAAATCAACAATATAACTTAAACTTAAACATGTTTGTTGCAAGTAATCCACAATTTCATGTTTGAGTGAACTATCCCTTTAAATAGTTTAAATTTGCTTTAAACTATCCCTTCAAGCTCACTTAATTCTGCTCGATTTTGATTGGCTCTTGATATTTGTATAGCTCAAAATGAGTGATTCTAATAATAAGTCTCTTCTTCTCACTTCTTATACGGTTATTAAACATATTTTTTAAACGTGATCATTATATTTGTAATAATAATTTAGGCAAAATAACAACAGTTTAGAATAAAACGCGAACTTGAGCAACTTTAATTGTTTTGGAAGCACTTCACACTTGCGCATCCACTTGTTTAAGGCTCGACACATACTAACCAGTGATATTAATTAAACTTAAGTGCACTTGGTAGCTCACGATGGCATATACCTGTATTGTCCGAGCACGTTTTTGACTAAACTCAAACTCTCTCTTACGATGGTATTTTAAGATCTACGAGACCATATAAAGTAAACAGAGGAGTTGTCCAGCGTATGATTTGTAAATGACATAATTATTTTTTTTTTACCGTGAACTGCCCCTTTAAACGCACAAGTTCTGTTAACCCTTCTCAGTTCTGATTGGTTCTCAATGTTTGTATAGTTTAAAATGAGCGATTCTAATAATAAGTATCTTATGCGATTATAAAAACCGTGATCATTGTATTTGCAATAATGGCCGCAATTTAGGTATGAAAAACAACAACAACAATTCGTAATAAAGCAAGAATGTGAGCAACTTTAATTGTTTTGGAAGCACTTCACTCTTGCGTATCCACTTGTTTAAATCTCGAGACATGCTAACTCATGGTTTTAATTAAACGTAAGTGCACTTAGTAGCTCACGATGGCATATATCTGTGTTGTCCAAGCACGCTTTTGACTGAACTCAAACTGTTTTGACAGTATGTTAAGACCTAGGAGACAATATAAAGTAAACAGCGTAATTGTCCTGCGTACAAGAAGGCCTCATTTGTAAATGACAAAATAAATTTTTTTTGCGTGAACTGCCCTTTTAAACACAAAAGTTCTGTTAACTCTGCTCGATTCTGATTGGCTCTCGATGTTTGTATAGTTTAAAATGAGCGATTCTAATAATAAGTATCTTATGCGATTATAAAAACCGTGATCATTGTATTTGCAATAATGGCCGCAATTTAGGTGTAAAAAAAAAAACAACAACAATTCGTAATAAAGCAAGAATGTGAGCAACTTTAATTGTTTTCGAAGCACTTTACACTTGCGTATCCACTTGTTTAAGGCACAGCACATGCTAACCAGTGAAATTGCCATGCTAACAGGACAATATAAAGTAAACAGAGGAATTGTACTGCTTACCTGAAGGCCTCATTTGTAAATGACAGACTTTCGTTTTTTGCGTGAACTGCCCCTTTAAATGCACAAGATCTGTTAACTGCTCGATTCTGATTGGCTCTTGATGTTTTGTATAGTTCAAACTTTGCGATTTAGATGCAGCAAACGACAACAATTCAGAATAAAGCGAGAACTTGAGCAACTTTAATTGTTTTGGAAGCACTTCACACTTGCGTATCCACTTGTATAAGTCTCGACACATGCTAACCAGTGATATTAATTAAACTTAAGTGCACTTAGTACCTCACGAAGGCATATATCTGCAGGTTTTTGACTGACATTCTCCTCTACTCCATCTTTCAAGCTCTCTCCTCTTACGACGGTATTTTAAGACCTACGAGACAATATAAAGTAAACAGAGGAATTGTCCTGCGTACGAGAAGGGCCTCATTTTACATAAACAAACAGTGCTCAGGAGAACAGCCCTGTCAACAGCCCAAGCCTTTTCCACACACTCAGCACTCAGAGACGGGTGGGGGAAGATGGAGAGAGAGAAACCAGGCACCCCCCTCCCGTCTCGGGCCCGTCCCACCGCCGTCTTCGCCTACAGAGGGGACATTGTCCAGGCCTTTAAGTTAAGACAGCATTCCTGTAGTGCAGGACGCTTCAGGAAACCTGAAAACCGGTGTACGAATGTTTGCATAAATGACCGAACAAACACAGCTTTACAATTTTATCCCGACTTAATGTGCTATGGGCTGGGATGTTTTTTTCATTCTGTAAGGATAAACTAAACAAATCCAAATTAATTTAGAAATATTTCAGTCTCTCTTTAGCTGCGTGTGCTCTGTGAATGCCGAGTCTTGTTAGAAGGCCAGAAGTGAACCAGAAGATATGTTCAGAACTGCTCCCTATGCATTAAATGGTGTGAACCTTTAGGAACCTAGCGATTCAATTTGACTCTGAGTCATCTTAATTCGATCTTAAAACGATTCTTTATCTACATTTTTCATATTTATTTTCGTTCTAACTTTACATTTGAACCAGAATTGGA